AATCTGATAAGTCAATTCTACCTAAGGGGCCAAAGTGCAACTATGAAGGGGAAGCTCATGGAAAGGGGTCTCTGAGAAGCTGTTGGCTGTAAGCAGCTACCACCTCTGTGGTTTCACCTGAAAGCATCTGGTAATAGGCATGGGCCACTGTTGATCATCAGAGCCAGCAGTTATAAAGAAGAGCTGGGTTCAGAGTAGAGGAATGTGAGAGCAAGTGAGGATGTATTGGACACATCTACACCTTTCTTTCTCTGTATGTGATTACAAAACAACCTTCAGTGAGTGAATACTATTGCCTTTCAAACTTGCACAAATTCCTCTTTTGGCCAACTCTAATCTGGAATTATACAGGGAAAGAAAGTCTGGGGAACATGACTCCCAGAGTAACTAAACTGGCAACAGGGTAATCCAGCATACTCCCTAAATGTCTGCCTAAATTAGGTCTGCAATGCTCCTCAAGGGCCCTGAGCAGATTTCAGAAAGGCTCCAGGAGTTAGCTCGGGAACATTGACAAACAAAGTCATGAGGCATTTGGGTTATAAGACAGCCTTTGTTTATTTGCCTAATGTCTTAGAGAAGCACTGGCTAGGGAATCAGGATGTTGCAATTGTGGACCTAAAGCCACCACTCACTAGATTCATTTATCATGAGATTCATTCTCCACTCACTAGATCCACCAGTCACCTTGCCCAATTTGTTCAAATTATCTGGGCTTCAATTTCCTCATCTATAAAAGGAGAGCAATCCCTCCTGGGCTGCTTTCTCTATACACTGCTTTCAGGAGCCAGTTGGTAGCCATCAATGCATTTGTTAAGCTGATGTAATGAATTCATGGACATGCAGAGAGCAGCCATACATAGTAAGAGTAGCTGTCCTTCCATAGAGTAGCTGTTCTTCCATAGAGTATCTGTCCTTCCACAAAAATTTGGTCAACCCCTGCTGCCCTGCCATAGTTTTGCCTAGGAGGTTTTGCTGTTTCTGCTGAGGTAGGAAACTCATGGAAACCAAGGCCTCGTGGCTTCTCCTTTTCAGATCTGCCTTCCCAGCTCTCTGTCCTCAACAGATCCCCTTTCTGACACCAGGCAATGGGTAGTGGGGAGGAGCAGTTGAGACTTGAATATCCCAGGCCTTCACTATTTCCTCTCCCTACATACTCTACCCACCCCCTGCCATCCATCCACGATTTCTACCTGCCTAAATTCTATTCATGTTTCAGTCTCCAGCTCAAAGATTATTCTCTTTTTCCTAAATGTTTTCTGATTCCCCTCAGCTGGATGCAATCTTTTCCATTCCTTAAACCCCCAGGGCAGCCTATCTTTGATTGCACTTACCATACCCTGACAATACCCCAACACATATACCTTTGAGTACTTATCTTATTCTTCTACATTCCTGAGGCAGGGAACTTGCTTATTAAGCTCGTATAACAAATAAATAATTTTTGGCATACTTCACATTAAAATGTAGACAGAACTTAGTACATACATATTTGGTGAATTGAGTTCAGAGAAAACAAATTGAGGACATATAGCCACATGTTGGTGTCCTAAATAACAAGTCTATAAGGACACGGTTGCCCACAAGAAGAAATAGAAAAATGAAGAGTTTATGATTCTCAGCCATGTGGGTCTCTATTATTACGAATGTTTTGTCTTCACTTGATAAGGTCTCTCCAACATGTTGATGTGATGACCTCTGAGACGGGACAGTCCAAATAGAAGCTAGGTCTCAATCCGCCTATACTCAGAGGTAAATGATCTTTATAGAACTCCATACTCCACAGCAGAGGATGCAAATGTTAACCAGGGCCAGTGACCCCTCTGTTTAAGTTATGACTGGAGCTGTCAGTGAGCTACATCCTCTCTAAGAGACAGTCCATGCACCCAAGATAAGGTTTCAAGAGCCCTTTGAGCCAGGAAAATTGTTTGGCCAAGTGTCTGTGTCTTTAGTCATGTACTCTCTGGGTTGCTGGGTTCTTTTCTCTCATCTCAGAATAGTTCCCAAAGCAAAACTGATATCAGAAAATGTTCGTGTTATCTCTCCAGTCTTGAGCAAGTCACTTCCCCTCTCTTGACCTCTGTTTCCTATAGAAGGAGGCAGATAGAAATAGCTCTTAAAGGTCCTGCCCAGCTCTGATATTCCAGGACTCTATTCTGAGCTACAGGCTGAATTCCCAGGGCCCCAGGCTACTGGCCTTCTCTTCTCTGCTTCTAAAAGGATGTATGGCTCAGATTTTCCCATGGGCCTCAGCTGGGGCATGCTTCCTGTTCTCTGGAATACTGTGGCTCTGCAGGTGATAACCATTCATCTGCCATTACGAAAAGGTCCTTAAGCCCAGACGTTACAAGGAGGGAGGTCATTTTTCGCAGACCCTCAGTAGTATCTCCCTAATCCAAATGACCAGTGGGTTCATTGAAAAGTTCATGTCCCAGTCATCGCAAAACCCAAGAGGCCTTGGGGATACCAAGTTACAGAAAGAAGGCTGTGTAGCTGGAACTGTTAATGCCCAAGGCATGACTATTCATTATTAACAAGTTCAAGTTCATCAACAGGCAGTAATCTGAGTGTTAAAATTTCTGCTTACCATCTTCTGGTTGGTTTATACAATATATGAGTATGATGATTTGTTAGAATTCTGTTAGACTATGATGACTACTATGTCCGAATTGGAAAGGAATCTAGAGCTCAGCTAGTCTAAACTACCCTGTGTTTACAGGTGAATAACTGAGAGCTAGAAAGGAGATGGCCCAAAATGCAGGATGTGGCAGTGTCAGGAACAGGACCCAGGACCTCCAACTGCCAGGTTCCTATATATCATATTACTCCAAAGCAGAGGTCACCAAGATGGTATACTCTAGTTCATGCAGTTACTCACAGAAGAATCCCTTTCCCAGGCCCTCATTCTAAATCTATTTAGCCTTTTTTTATTAAGTTCTAGCAAGAGCAGTTTAACTGGTTTCTAATTCACAACATATTAAAAATAAGCAGACAGAAAAGTACAGTGAATAGGCTGGTAAAAAGACAAGAAATAAAACACTACATAAAGAAGATTTCAGAATTTCAAGGCTTTATAGTCCGGCAATGTTTAATGCAGGTCAAGCGACATTACACAACTCCATATCCCCAAGATTATCACTTTAATGTAGTATCACAATGGCTGACATTCATAACAATGTCCCTGGATCACCAAGAAAGGGTTAGCATGTTTCACTAGAGAAAGTGGGTACTTCTTTAAAGAACTTTTTAAAAAAGCGTTACACCAAAAAGAAAATTTTTAGTTATAGTTAGGTAAACCTTTGGCTATCTGGAAAACTGAGTCAGACAAAATAACACAGCAGCTGGGGGTTCAAGGAAGTGACATTTCAGCTGTGTGCAGATAGGCACATTCTACAGTAACAAGACTGGTGTGAGTTCGGCTGGTATCTGCAGAGAAGAGGAATAAATAGCAAAGCCATGATCTCATCTTCTGTTTACACTTCAATTCCCAAAGTTAGTGATTAATTGTACTTGTGTTTTGTTGCCAGGGCAAATTGTTTTTCTTTAAAACTCCCACTTATTTTAAATAAATAAACCATTAGTTTCAAAACAGAAGTGTCAAATGTCAAGATATTTCTGACATGCTAAGCTAATGAACAAAACAATGAATTCATTAGAAGCTACTAGAGATAGGCAGCCTTTGAGAACTTTTCTTTAATGACTTTGAAAGGCAGCAGGAATCATTCTTGGTAAGAGATTTTTTTCAAGCATCTTGGCTAAAATATTAGTCCAGAGGTTGCAAACACAAATACAACTTATAAGAATTGGATTAGGTATAAGATAATTGAATAGGTATGTCAAGAATTCATACTCAAATAAATATACCAACTAGCTATCATACGAAGCTTCCCAAACTCCTGTCTCACATAAAATCAGCTTTAAGCCATCAGTTTAGGATGTTTGCTTGGATCTCTGAATTCGCACAGAGCCTCTGGCTCTTCCAAAGAAGGGAATTCTTTTGGCAAACAGGCATGTTTTTTGCATCTAAGTCTTAACACAAACATGTACACACAGAGATACACACTCAAACTATTTTTGGATGATTCCAATAAATAGTTCTATATTAAGACTGCCTATTAAACATTAATGGTCACTACATGACTTTCCTGCTTAAAAGTTTTCAGTGTCTTCCACTTACTCACAGAATTAATGGCATTCAAGGTCAACCATAATTTAATTTCCATGTATCCTTCCAAGTACATCTCCTCCTACAATCCCCACAGACTCCCTGGCTACTCACTGTTCACAGAATGGGGCTTGTACTTTTAGTTCTTGTAAACAAATGTTTATTGGATAACTACTATGTGCCAGGTCCTGTTCCATGAACTGAAGACACATCTCTAAAGAAAATAAAGTCCTCTCCTGTAGCTTATATTCTAATGTGGATTGTTTGCCTGCTTTGAGTGCATATGCAGTGCTTCTGCTTGTATGAAAGCACTTGTCACGCTGTATAATACCTGCCTGTGTCTGTGTTCCTCAACCTCAACACTGCTGTCCTGTGCACAGAACTGTGTCTATCTCTCATCAACTCCATCTCATGCTTTGCTCGGCAGTAGGCACACCTTGGATATCAATGAATGACTTATATTGTATACACAGTTTCCATTCTTTGGAAATGTGGTAAGTTCCTGTTGCACAGAGAATCTGTCCGTGAGGTCATCTAACTTTTTTAAAACTTTCATATTGCGTTGTTTTTAATAAATAAGCCTTTTGATTATTGACAGGAATGACAAATATCAAGTTACTTCTAATGGAACTAAATAAGATGAATGAAACTGATCAGATGTCCACATTGACTTAACCTGTAATGCATCTTTTCTCAAGAATCCTTAACCTCCTTTCTTTGGGTTTCTCAGGCTGACTAACCTACTCTTGGGTGGCCTCTTCCTTTTTCTTTCAAAGATAAGAAAAGAAGCCTAGCTGGGAAACTGCTCACCTTGTTCCCTTTCTCTTTGACCTCAAAGGTAGAAACTGAGGACCAGGTGCTGGCAACCTTCTGTGGCAGGGAGACCACAGACACAGAGCAGACTCCCGGCCAGGAGGTGGTCCTCTCCCCTGGCTCCTTCATGTCCATCACTTTCCGGTCAGATTTCTCCAATGAGGAGCGATTCACAGGCTTTGATGCCCACTACATGGCTGTGGGTAAGTTGGAGAACTGACTCATCCTCAGGTCTCTCTTTCTCTCCGAAGATGAAAACTGCCTGGGCCCTCTCCTTTATGATGGAAATCTGTGTATGCACCACATAGATTATGCACCACATAGATTCTACCATTAATGTCTTACTGCATTTGCTCTATCACATATCTATCCATCATCTATCCTCTATCCATCCAGCAATTCATCTTTTACAAAGTGTTTTAACGTAAATTGCAGACATCAGTACACTTCTTCCTAAATAATTCAGCATGCATATTATCTTGCTAGAGTTCAATATTTGTTCACAGTATTTTTTCTTTTTGTGTAAAATTGACATAAAATGAAATACACATATCTCATGTAAACACTTGCTGAATTTTGAAAAATCTATATTTGTGTGTAACCCAAACCTCTAACAAGACATTGAACTTTACCACCAGCCCAGAGGGTTCCTTTGGGTCCCCGCCCAGTCAATCTCTGCTCCCACTTCCCTTAGAGGAAACAATTGTTTTCATTTTTTTTTTCTGCTATAGATTAATTCTTGCCTCTTCTAAAACTTCATTTAAATGAACACATAGAGAATATATTTTGGGGATGAGGATTCTTTTACTCAGCATCATGTTTTTGAAGTTCATTCATGTGTCACACGCATCAGTAATTTGCTCCTTTTGCTGGCAGAGTAATTTTCCATTGTACGAATATACTAAAGTATGTTTACTCATTCTCTCATTGATGGCTACTTGGGATCTACCCATTTTTTGGCTCTCACTAATAAAGTTTTTATGAGCCTTCTTGTACAAGTCTTTTTGCAAACATATGCTTTCAATTCTATTGAGTAAATATATAAGAGAAGAATTGCTGGGTCAGAGGATAGGTATATGTTTAGCTTTATGAGACATTGCCAGACCTTTTCCAAAGCAAATATACCATTTTCTATCTGTCCCCCAATGTACGAGAGTTCTGGCTGCTCCACGTCTGCACCAACATTAGATGTTGTCAATTTTTTTAAATTTTAATCACTCTGGTGGGTATGTAGTGGTACCTGATTGTGGTTTAAATTACATTCCCTTAATGACTAGCAGTGTTGAACATCTTTTCATGTGCTTATTGGCCATTTGTTTATCCCTTTCGGGGAAATGTACATTCAAATGCCTAGGACAGGGCTTGACCCACATTAGGGGCAGAAAGAAAGAAAGCATGAAGTAGAAGTTAAGAGCACAAGCTCTGTACCCAGCTTGTCTGGATTTAAATCCCGGGTCTGCCACTTACTATCTGTGTGACTCTAAGTTCATTAATGCCTCCATGTCTCCATTTCATGCTCCATAGAATGTGAATAGTAACAGAATGCGTAGTAACAAATGTGTAATGCTTCATGAGGTCATTATCCCACACACGGTTATTATTATTATGACTGTTAGAGGATAGTGGTCCCACCAGAAGTCAGGTTGCCTGGGTTTGAACTTGGCTCTTTGTGACCTTGGGTAAGTTGCCTAACCTCTCTGAGTTCCAGTTTCCTAGTCTGTAAAGTGAAGATAATGGCTACCTCTGGGCTGTATGTGAGGATTAAATGAGAGAATGCGTGAATCTCCCAACATAGTGAGTGGCCCATATCAAGTGCTCTATAAATGTTGGCTATAGTCTTCATCATCATGCATGTATTGATGGAGAGGCTTTACCTGCCCTACAGATGTGGACGAGTGCAAGGAGAGGGAGGATGAGGAGCTGTCCTGTGACCACTACTGCCACAACTACATTGGCGGCTACTACTGCTCCTGCCGCTTCGGCTACATCCTCCACACAGACAACAGGACCTGCCGAGGTAGAGACTACCAATGATTCTATGCATTGCCCTTATAGGCCACATCCTCAATAACCTTAGATGAGGCTCAGAGAAAGACAGATATGCAATACAAATAAGTAAAAATGAAGTCAATGATGCACCTCAGACCCCACGTGGATGAAGATGCAGAAATGTCCACCCAGCCTGGAAACCCAAACTTGGGTTCCCAAAGGAGAGAAGCTCTAGACTATCTGGCTGTCTTTCTTTCCAGGCAGCATTTTTGCTATATAGGTTGCTGTGTCTTATCCTATTGTAGGCAATTGGTCTGGTCAAGTTAGGGGAAAACTTGGGTTTCCCAGTTCTTTCTCTTTGAGTCATGAATTATGCTTTACCCAGCAACTCCTTTTCCTCTTTTTTCCCATGGCCCCTAAGTTCCTCTACAATAAAGAGACCTCAGTCCAAAGGGAAGAAGAGAGAGAGGAAAGAGGCAAACAGAAACAGTCAGAAAACTTCCCATTCCTTCTATCTTTGTTTTCATCTCTCATCAACATACGTACTATGCTGTAGTCTCGTGCTTAGAGAGGGATGGAGAAATGGAAGGGTTTAGCCACTTTCTAGGAGGAGCTCTTGGGCTAGTAGGGTAATGGCCATGTAAGCAAATGGTGAAGTGTCTTATGGTCTCTATTTTAACAGTAATGTTTCCATTACATTTACATAATGGAAGTATGGACATAGCACAATCAGACCTGTGCAGGCAAACACCTCCCAGAGTTGTGACCCTTGACAGAGATGAAAGAATAAGGAGAAGAAGGGCCTTCCAGGTGGAGAGAACAGCTTCTGCAAACAATCAAAGGTGTGATAGAACTTGCAATGTTTCAGGGAACAGCCAGTAGATTAGTGTGGTCCAGGATAAGCATCTATGCTTGAAATCTCACTTGGAAGCTCAGTGAGGGATCACTGGAGGAGGGCAAGTCTGGAGACAAAAGTTTTTTTTCTTCCTCTTTCAAAAGCTGCTATTTGCTTCTGAATAAAACCCTATGTAACACATCAGTATAAAGCGATCTAAAACCAAAAGAACAGGCAAGTGCAGGATTTTTCTTAAAGAGTGTATGTTTTCTATTGTTTTTATTCAGTTGAGTTTTTACTGAGTGTCTACTATGTGTTGAGTACAGTCAGGGCCAAGAATGCTTAGGGCAGAGCAAGCTTTCTCACTCATTTTCTTCATTTTCACCTGTCACCAGGAGCTTTTTAAAGTATCATTTTCCTAATAGCTCCTCTCTCCCCCATGAAATTTTAATACCACAGATATACTATATATCTGTTTATGTACTGCATGTCCATCTGTATATTGTGCATTTGAAAAGTAAGACCTTCCCCACCAGGAAGGAATTTTAGCTTTCTTGAGGGCAAGATCGCCCCCATGAGAATGCTTGGGGTAAAAAATGAAAACAGTTGGGAACTTAGGAGACTTCTATCTTCACGTGGTCCTGCAGCTCATGGCTGTGAAACTTTAAGTTAGTCATGCCCCCTTTTTCAGAACCACAGTTTTCTCATTTGCAAATAAGCAGAATGAACAAGGGCGTAGAGACATTGACATCCCAGATCTAGGATGAACTGGCCCAAAGGTAAAGTCTTAGTGACAAATCAAGGTTCCTTAGCAGGGCTAAAGTCATGTCTAGGTTCCCAGGACAGTGGATTCTTGGGTGCAGTAAATGCAGTGGGGAACGAAGCAGAATTCCTGCACTCACAGAGTTTGTAGTCCAGCGGGAGCAAGAAAATAAACATAAAGTTAAGGAGTTGTTAAAAGAAAAACTTGAGACAAATTAAATTTAACAGAGTTTAACTGAGCAAAGAACAATTTGAGACTCCTCCCCTCCACCCACCCTACCACCACCAGAATATGTTCAGACCAACTCCAGGGTTGCTCATGCTGGATAAGATTTATGGGAAGTAGAAGAAAAGTGATGGACAGCAAATGGAAGTCAGGTACAGAAACAGCCAAATTACTTACAGCTTGGTATTTGCCTTGTTCGAACGTAGTTTGAACAGATGGCCACCCGTGACTGGCCAAAACTCCGTGATTGGTACTGTTAACTTAAAAATCAAGATTTCAAATCTGTAAGTTTAGAAAAAGAGAGGAGATTTTATTCCTTATAAAGTCTTACAGCAGGTGGCCATCCTTATAGTCTGGGAAGCACCACCTCCAGCCAAGACCAGAGACAGGCACTTAAAAGGAGGAGGGATTGAGGCAGGAGCTTTATGCTGAACAGGTTGGCTAAACACATTCAACAGGTTACAGGAGGAGCTGTGACTATTTATGACAGTGGTCCTGACACATGCATATTGAACACACATGCAGGCAACATATGACCCATGTTCATTTTGGGATGGAGACTTCACATTAAATGTATTACAGTTAGGGTCCAAACGTCTTTTCAGGACAGGAGGCATTCAGGTGTGCAGCCTCTGTAAACTGGCCAGAACCAGGCCATGGTCAGAAGTCTCTTATCAAGAGAAAGTGACTGAAATCGATGTCTTGTTCATTCAAAGCCATAGTTGTGGCTTGTGGAACAGGGTGGGGATCAGCCAGTCGGCATCTGGTAGAGCTGAAAATTGTTTTCATATCATTTATTGCAAGGCCAGTGCTTGTTCAGCTGCTGGAGATAAAGAAAAACTTTGTAGCATCGTTAGAACATAGTTTCTGCTTTCAGTGCGGGGATGCATGACTTAACCCTTGCCTGGCATGGCCTTAGGTCCTTCATCATTTACAATTTGGTATTTTATTGCCACGAGTAGTCTGTTTTCTCACTCTCATGATCTCTATTTAACATTAATGCTGGTCACTTGTTGTGTCCAAACTGCAGAGAAACAGGGATATAGAAGGAGTGTCTAACCGACCACTCCATCATGGCCAGGAATTCTGTTTTAAGGTTTTTCTGGAGCTCCTTTTGCCTCAGGGGGCCCATTAGGTCAGTGGAGGGCTTAGGATTTTATTTTTAGTTTATAGTAGAAGAGTAGATTAGTCTACTTAAAAATCCAATTAGGTTACAGTTCACCATGTATGCAGAACCCTTCGGGCTAAATTTAAAATATGTAAGAAGGCCAGGCAAGGTGGCTCACACCTGTAATCTCAGCACTTTGGGAGGCCAAGGCAGGCAGATGGCTTGAGTCTAGGAATTTGAGATCAGCCTAGGCAACATAGCAAGGCCCCATCTCTAGAAAAACTACAAAAATCAGCCAGGTATGGTGGCACATGCCTGTAGTCCCAGCTATTCAGGAGACTGAGGTGGGAAGATCACTTGAGTCCAGGAGGCAGAGGTTGCAGTAGGCCGAGACGGCACCACTGCACTCCAACCTAGGTGACAGAGTAAGGTCCTGACTCATAAAATAAAATGAAATAAGTAAGAAGGAAGCTTAAGGCTACATTTAATTGAACACAGTGAATAGCACCATAAAGAAAAACAAAACAAAGACAGGGGCTAGAAAGTGAGGTGTGTGTCAAGGGCCTATAGGAGATGAGGGATCTCCTGAAGTTCTGGGTAGAGGGAGGGCAGGATCACAGAGGTCCAGGCATCCCTCTGACCACTCCATCTCGAAACCCTTCCCTCTCAGATCCCTCTCCCTGACCCCCAAACCAGAGGATCTGATGAGAAGGATCTTCACACAGGGTAAACAGCCCTGGACAGACAATTAGAAAATCTGTGTTTGAGACTCAACTCGGTAAATTGCTAGACATGAGACCTTGGATAAATCATTTCCTTTCATTGAGCTTCATTTTTCCCATCTGTAAAATGGAGATGCTGATACCTTCCCTGTCTACTGCTTGGGACCATAGGGAAAATCATATAGTAACAGATAAGCAAGGCTTGCTGTGGCCGTGGTTGTGATGTGCCATCTTCTCTGCTATGTTTCCAACAGTGGAGTGCAGTGACAACCTCTTCACTCAAAGAACTGGGGTGATCACCAGCCCTGACTTCCCAAACCCTTACCCCAAGAGCTCTGAATGCCTCTATACCATCGAGCTGGAGGAGGGCTTCATGGTCAACCTGCAGTTTGAGGACATATTTGACATTGAGGACCATCCTGAGGTGCCCTGCCCCTATGACTACATCAAGGTGAGCCTGCAATGAACACTTGTCCTGGAGATGCTGGAAAATCTTGGCTGAGTTGGGAAAATTGATATTGCGGAATCTTCACCTTCTTCTCCCAGGATAGAGAGCCAAGCAGCTAGTTTCTCAAAAAGGCATTATTTAAAATAATATCTACCATCTTAATTAGATCTATTCCAGGAATCTCTGATCTGAAATGACCCCCCTGGCCATTAGGGAGGCTTGAGGAGGAGAGTCTTAAGGTTGAATCTGCATTTTAGAAAGGTCTCTTGCTGGCACGCCCAGCCTCATGAGCATGCATCCCACGCTGTCACATAGGGCCCTGTGCACAGAAGGGCCTCATGCTTGGTTTAATAAACATATGAAACTATGTTTCTTCTGTTTATTTTTTTAGCCAACTACCACGGCAAAGAAGAATGTATGAAATTTTTAATTTGTTTTAAATAAGGGGCCCCATATTTTCATTTTGCCCCAGGCCCCACAAATTATGCTGCTGGGCCCACTTGCGGGAAAAGGCTATGTCGAAGGCAAATAAAGATGGAAGAAATACCACAGGCAAATAACTACTCTATTTGTGGTTATTTCAATATTATAATTAACAATTTGAGCTATGGCTGGGATAATGGGGAGATATTTTTGAGATGTCTGGAAAGTAAAACCAGCAATTCTTACAGAGTGAACAGCCAAAACATCCAAGTAGAGCTGAATAGTAGGGTCTAGCTCAGAAGAGACACTGAGCTGGGGATAAAGATGGGTGCCGTCAAATGTTTAAAGAGGTGCTGATTTTAACTGTGGAAATGGGATGTCCTAGAAAAGAAAAAAAAAGGAAGCCAGAACACAATAGATTATGAGACCTAGATGGAGGAAGAGGAACCCACAAAAGAGGTCAAAAAGAGCCAGAAAATGAGACCGCCCAGGAGAAAGCTGTCAACAGTGAGAGAGGCAGAAAAGCCTGAGAGGATACAAAAGAAAACTCTAGAACTTAGAGCCTGGCCTGTCCCCTACTTGGATACAGAGGCTAAGAGGCAGCTTGGCTGGAGGGTGACAGCAGGAAGCACAGGCCACGGGTTTTCTATTTTGCTGTGTTAGCAAAGTGCCACAAACATAACAGCTTAAAACAATGCCAATTTCTTATCTCAGCATTGTGTCGGTCAGAAGTCCCAGTGAGCACAATGGGATTCTTTGTTCAGGGTCTCATGAAACTGAAATCAAGGTGTCAGCTGATGGAGCTCTTATCTAAAGACTCTGGAGAGGAATCAACTTCCAAGATCATTTAAGTACTTGGCAGAATTCAGTTCCTTGCAGATGTAAGACTAAAATCCCCTTCTTCTTCCTGGCTGTCAGCCAGTGGTGGCTCTCAGCTCTAGAAGTTGTGCTTAGATACTTTCACATTGGTCCCTGCCATCAGAGACAATCCTTTCCATCAAATTCCTGTCACACTTCAAATCTCCCTGACTTCCACTGCTGCTACCAGCAGAAGGAAACTGTGTGGAATGGGCTCGTGTGATTGGGTTAAGCCCACCCAGATAATCGCCCTCACTTTAGGTCAACTAATGAATAACTTTAATACACCTGCAAAATCCCTTTTGCCATTTAACATAACATCATCACAAAGTAACTCCAGGGGTGAAGGTCAACCTTCAATCTAGAATTCTGCCTGCCACAGTGTCTCAGGAGCTACACATGGGAGCCTCATCCAAGCATGCAACCTCTTGGGGCTTCATTTGTTTCCCCCTCTCCTCAATAAGGACAGGACAAAGATGTCACTTGGGATTGTAGAGGTCACCAAATGATTGGTAACGAGTCATGGCCCTCAAAGATGGGAGAAAAGTGCATTAAAGACATAGAAAAAAACCCAGGAATGAATGGTGGGGAATCTGGATCAGATAATAGAGCCTATTGCCTTCTCTTCCCTACTGCCCCCAACTTACTGCAAACTCATCACCTCCCTTCTGCTCAGCTGCAAAACTTCCCAACAGGTTTTTTTTGTTTGTTTTCTGTTTTTTGTTTTTTGCTTCCACTCTTGCCCTACACAATCTATTCTCCCATAGCATTAAGGGTGATCTTTATAAAAGCTAGATTCGATTGAGTTTGCACTTTAAATTAAACCTAAATTTCTCAGCACAACTTGGCCTTTGTCTGTTGTCCAACCTCATGCCATGGCACTCCCACTGCCCAGCCGGCCTGGCTTCCTGCCTATTCCTAACACGAGGCAAGCTCTTTACCACCCTTGGCCTTGATCTTTACATATGCAGTTTTCTCTCCCTAGAAAGTATTCTTCCCTTCTCTTCAAATAAGCTCATACTCATCCTATGTATCTCAGATTCTCAATGCTACCTAACGGAAAGCCCTTGCCTTGATCACCTAATTAAAGTTATTGTCTATTATATTACCATTATAGGAATGATTATTTCTATAGGTTACATAGGTTTTACTACATCAATTATAAACATATAGCATATATTTCTATTATATATGCATATCATCCTGATTATTTTTATTACCCTTATGACGCCCTATAATTATTTTGTTTATTATTTGTTGTTAGTCTCCCCCAACTAGACTGCAGGTTTTTTGACAGCAGAGATCGTCTCTGCTTTATGTACCAGACAGCACTCTGCCCTTCTCTGAGCCACGATATGTTCATCTTTAAGCAGAAGATTTTTTTTTCAATTTAAGTACTGGGATACACATGCAGAACGTGCAGGTTTGTTACACAGGTATACACGTGCCACGGTGGTTTGCTGCACCCATCAATGTGCCACCTAGGTTTTAAGCCCCACATGCATTAGGTACTTGTCCTAATGCACTCCCTCCCCTTGCCCCGCCACCCCCTGACAGGCCCCAGTGTGTGATGTTCCCTTCCCTGTGTCCATGTGTTCTCATTGTTCAACTCCCACTTATGAGTGAGAATATGTGGTGTTTGGTTTTTTTTTCCTGTGTTAGTTTGCTGAGAATGATGACTTCCAGCTTCATCCATGTCTCTGCAAAGAACATGAATTAATCCTTTTGTATGGCTGCATAGTGTTCCACAGTGTATATATGCCACATCAATGCCAGTCTATCACTGATGGGCATTTGATTTGGTTGTATACCTTTGCTATTGTAAATAGTTAAGTAGAGGATTATTAACCCGCCTTGTCCACCTCAAGAGTCATTGTAAATTATAAAAGAGAGAATGAAGATGAAACCATTTGGTGAATGGTACGGCTCATTAAAAACCTAAGTGAATATCGAGGGTTCATATGGAAGCTTCCAGAAAACCCAGAGTGCAGTGGAGAGGTATTACCTGCAGAGGCCATGTTGGCTGCTCAGATGGAACCCTCTCTTTCTCTCTCTTATATTTTGCAGATCAAAGTTGGTCCAAAAGTTCTGGGGCCTTTCTGTGGAGAGAAAGCCCCAGAACCCATCAGCACCAAGAGCCACAGTGTCCTGATCCTGTTCCATAGTGACAACTCGGGAGAGAACCGGGGCTGGAGGCTCTCATACAGGGCTGCAGGTAACCTCTTCCCTCCCAGGTTACACTGAGCCGCTGTGCTTAGCCCTTGCAGAAGCAGTGGCTGAGGGAGGAGGGGTGCAGGCTTGGGTCTCCTCTCGGGGCCTGATGGGACTCCCAATCGAGCAGCTGGGGACCAAGGCACGTGCTCTTTCCTGACTCAGTTTTCCATCTATAAAATGGGGGCAAGGGCAGCAATAATGTTGGGTGGACTAGACAGGTGGTTTTCAAAACATGTACTTCAGTATCACATAGAGAGATTAAAGAAAAAGAAATCTTGTTTCCTGAACTCTACACCTCACACAGTGATTCAGTAGACTTGGGGAGGAGGGCCTTTTCAGCTCCAGCCTTCTCCAAGTCTAGGGTTAGAATTTGGATATGGGCCTGTAGCCCAGAATGTTTCACTATGGTGCTTTGCCTCCTTCTGGGTCCCGATCAGCAAAGCCCATGGATCTCATGCCCCTGTCCCCCATGTCAGCCAGTCCTGGCCCAAACCTTGATCAAGCCATTCAACCTGCAGTAACTGGTCTGTAGGAACTCATGGAAGGAGAAGGTGAACATCAGCGACAAAAGATCACAGCTGGGCATGACTAATCCAGTTCATAGACTAAAACTCTGGCCCTGCCTACATTATCACATACACTGCTCAGATGGGGGAGAATAGACAGGATCTTAACAAAGGAGAGTTTGTCTAGAAAAAGTGTCAGGGATAGGCCCAGGCCTGAGGAGCCTGTCAGATTTAGCTTTTCGAGGAGAGGACTCAGAGGCATATGATCACAGCCTTTCTAATGCTTTGAAGAAGGGCCTTGGGAAGAAAGAGCAATTTGGGTCATCCTTGGTGGCCTGAGAGGACAAATGAGTAAAAATTACAGGGGTGCAAATTTCAGCTAAGAAGGAAAACAATGTTCATGTAATCAGCAGAGTCTGAGCCTGAAAGGTACAGGTTAGGGAGGCGTTAAGCTCCCCGTCACTGCGTCCCTGAGCCGCCATGCTTAGCCCTCCCAGGGGTGGTGGCTGAGGGAGGAAGGATGCTGGTAGTGGCTGAGGGAGGAGGGATGCAGGTTTGGACCTGGTGGGGCTCCTAGCTGAGCAGTATGTTTGGTGTCTACTGCAGAGGATGTTGTAAAAGAAGCATCAGACAAGGATTGGATTTAATGACATTTAACATTCCTCCCAATCCTGAGTTTTACTGAAATCATCTGGTCGACCATTTCATTCCACAAGTAAGGACGTGGTGGTCCAAGTTGGAAACTGCCCTATTCACGGCTCCAGAATTAGTCTCTTGAAGGGCCTGGAAGATCCATACCTCCAATACCCAGTTCTATGTTTTATTCACCTTCATCAGGCCTTGCTTTCTAGGGACTGGCCCTTTAAGGTCAGAATTCTCATTTTCTCACCTGCTGTTCTTTCATTTGCTCCCCACCAGGAAATGAGTGCCCAGAGCTACAACCTCCTGTCCATGGGAAAATCGAGCCCTCCCAAGCCAAGTATTCCTTCAAAGACCAAGTGCTCGTCAGCTGTGACACAGGCTACAAAGTGCTGAAGGTGCAGAGCCCTGCCCGGGAAACGGTAGTGAGCAGGCCACAGAAACTCTCCAAACCTGCACCTCCCCAGGGCAGATGGGCTGCCAGCACTTGTCATAGTTCCAGCACAGAATTTCCTAGCTGCCCATCAACTTCTCAAATGCTCCAGAAATTCCAAAGCATGTGTCCCAGGCAGTCTCACACTCTGAAAGTGGCACAAAAATTTGTTTGTTTTATTTTTTAATCAGAGCATGAGCTGGTTCGAATTTTAAAAATATGGATCCATACAGCTCTATAATCAAGGCTGAGAACTGTAACAAAGTTCATCGGCTTATAGAGGGGAGTGGAGTGGGATACCAGGAAAGGAAGTAGACGGTTTAAAAGTAGCAGATGGGGCCAAGCACAGTGGCTCACGCCTGTAAACCCAGCACTTTGGGAGGCCCAGGTGGGTTGATCACCCGATCTCAGGACCAGCCTGGCCAATATGGCGAAACCATACCACTACTAAATAATAAAAAAATAGCTGGGTGTGGTGGCGGGCGCCTGTAATCCCAGCTACTCGGGAGGCTGAGGCAGGAGAATCGCTTGAATCTGAGAGGTGGAGGTTGCAGTGAGCTGAGATTGTGTCATTGCACTTCAGCCTGGGTGACAAGAGCAAAACTCTGTCTCAAAAAATAAAAAAAACGAACAGATAGGTTCCCCTCACTCTCCCACCCCCTGAAGCAGTAGTTCTAGGAATCACATTGTTAGCTTAAAAAAAAAAAATCACCTCCCAGCTCTCACCTGAGATCAGTTAAAGCAGACTTTTTGGGACTGGGACCAGTGATTGGTGCAGCCAAGCTAAAGGACCACTGCTTCCAAGGAATGGTTCTCAAAGAGGGGTCCTCAGTCTCAGCATCACTGGGAACTTGTTAGAAATGCAAATGCTTGGGTAAGCCAGCCCTGCTGAATCAGAAACTCTGGGGGAGAAGCCTGGCCACCTGTGTTTTAACAAGCCCTCTAGGAGATGCTGACTGCTTGCCCTGGTTTGAGAAGCACTGCTCTGAAAAAGGAGTCAATGCTTACAGTCTTCCCTTCAGAGATAGTTGCCCAAACCCCTTCTCGCACACAGCCCTTGCCCCTCTCCAGAGTATGAAAAGGGAATATGAATTCATTGTGTATCTTTCCCCTACCTTCAAGCTTGCCCTTGGAGGCCCATGGGTGGAAAATCTCAGTCGAGGACAGACACGTGTGGAACTTGAGTTGGTTTTGCTAGGAAAAACCCCCTAACACCACCCCCGCCTCCTTCTTCCCACTCCCTTCTTCCTGTCTCTTCCCAGGATAATGTGGAGATGGACACATTCCAGATTGAGTGTCTGAAGGACGGGACGTGGAGTAACAAGATTCCCACCTGCAAAAGTAAGAAAGCCTAATGGGTTGTTATAAAGATACTGAGCTCCCCAACACTGGCAGGATCCAAGCGGCACATGCAAGGGTGAAAGCGTGGCAGGAGCACTCTGAAGGGGATGGGAGCAGAAATTTAATAGACACACAAGGGTTGGGGGAAAAAAGAATATCAATGCCCCTTTTGGCAATAAGACGTTTGGATCCCAAAAGAAACTTGTGGGCCCAGTACTTTGTTAAATACCAATTTTACTTCAGTCCATAGATGGGTTGCCGAACTTACTAAAGGAATAGCATGTGTCCAGGCTCGAAACCAGCTTTGGCAATTGCTAATTCAGGAAACTAGTCTGGTGCTGGTGCCCAGAGCTGAATGATCTTGCTAGTCTTCACGTGGCCATCAGCCATATCCCCTACATCTTCTGAGACAACTCATGATTTAGGGCTGTACAGGAAGGGCTGTTAGGTCAGCACAGTTGGCCTGCATGAAGCAAAGGATGCAGCTCTTCACTGGCTCCTGGGACCCAGAGTAAGATCTTGCCTTGGCTCTGCCCCTAACCAGCTCTGTGATTGTGAATAAGATCCTTTGCCTCAACTATAAAATAAGGAGTTTGGACTAGCTTTATATTTTAGAAGATATGCCAATGGTTTTAAAATGATATAGTCTATATAAATCATCTACTGAGCTTTGTAAAAATACAAGCTTCCAACCACTTCACCTCACCACCACCCTCTGCAACCACCCCTCAACACCCAGGTGATTTCAATGAAAGACTTATAAGGACCACAGTTGTAGAAACTTATCCATGGCCAACATTGATGAGAGGAGGCACAGTGACAGAAATAGTCAGGGAAGGAAGGGAGAGAGAAGGGAGAATTTGCTTTATGATGGAGAGGTGAGGTCAAGAATTAGAGCCTGGCGCGGTGGCTCACGCCTGTAATCCCAGCACTTTGGGAGGCAGAGGCAGGTGGATCACTTGAGTTCCAGAGTTCAAGACCAGCCTGGCCAACATGGTGAAACTCAGTCTCTACTAAAAAGACAAAAATTATCCAGGCATGGTGGCACACACCTATAATCCCAGCTACTCGGGAGGCTGAGGCAGGAGAATTGCTGGAACCCAGGAGACGGAGATAGCAGTAAGCCGAGATTGTGCCACTGCACTCCAACCTGGGTGGCAGAGCAAGACTCTGTCTCAAAAAAAAAACAAAAACAAAAAAACAAAAAACCGGATTGGAGTTGGTCCCACCCATCTTCTTTTCATGACTTTTCATGCAAACTGGAGCGCTATCCTCGTCCCTTTCTCCTACATGGCCTTGATTCAGTACGCAGACATAGCTCCTCCCATTGTCCCAAGGGGGACATTCCCTTAAGGCAAATCCCAGGAAGAACTTTGAAGTAAAATATGCTTGTTCTTTTCCTTTTCATATGATGAAATTTTTCCTTTTCCTATGATGTGGCTGGGGTCAGAGCCTAGCATAGGGAAGGAGGGGGCATTTTATGGCTTTAACAAAATGTTTCAAAAAATGTTGACTGCATGCCTCTGCAGAGTTCCATAGGGAAGTCAGATGGAAAAGACAAAGTCCAGGCATGGAGGAACTCAAGTGCTGGTGGCCACAGTCACCACCTCCTCCAATCCCAGGCTCAAGGCACAGTGCTCTGACTGGGTTCTAAGCAAAGCACTCTGCAGAACAAAGCAAGGGCCATGTAGAAGGAGAAGGTAAAGGAGGATATGAGGTGTTTTGGATAGAATCAGGCTTTGGAATTAGGAAGTTCTAGATTCAAATGCAGACTCTACCAGCTGAGAGTCCCTAATCAGTGTATTCAGACTCTTTGGCCTCAGTTTCCCACCCTCAAGATTGCTTTGGGGATTAGCTGGGTTAATATATATACCACACCCATGGAGGGCCAGAAACGTGCAAAAGATCAACAAACATCTCCCGCCCCAACCCAATCCCCTCACTAGGAAGTGGTTTTGTTTATCTCATTCATATTTTTGGAAAGTAGGAAGCATTAATATTTTTTCCCTAACTAATATTTTTCCCTGACTTACATTAGCATACAACAGAACACCCTGTCATTTTGTAGTAAAGAGGGACTGTTTCCATCATATGACCCTATTCTCCCAAAATGGGCTGGATTAAGACGATCAGAATTCCCATTCAGGCATACCCAGCATCTTTGCTTACTCAGTAGGTATTTATTGAGCATCTCTCTGTACCAGGCACTGTGCTAGGTCCTAGGGGAGAGGCAAGGACAAGACTGAGGAGTTGAGAGTCCCCAGGGATTATGGAGTACAGGACTGGAAACAGACAAGGGGTGTGCACTGTGTGGTAAAGAAACGTGCACTCGAAAAGAAGCTGGGAATTACAGGTTGTTGTTCTGGCCTCCACCTTGCTGTGGTGGCCTCTGGACAAGCCCTGTTCTACTCTGAATGCTGTCAAGTCAGGGTTTGGACCAGATGCAGGCAACGCTCCCTCCAGGGCAGAATTTTATAATCCTCATGAGCCAGGATGTATGACTCTGCAAATTCTCGGAATGATACAGATTCCACAATCCCAAACTGTTCTTCACACTGGCTGTACCTAAACTATGCATTCTTAATCAATTCTGGTGAAGTGATTTCTGTATTTCCTGCATAAACTGTTTCTGCTTTGCTTGCTAATTTCTCTCTCTCTCTCTTTCTCTTCCTTTCTCTGCTTCCTTCCTCTGTACCTCTTGATCCCTCTTTGATCTTCACCATAGTGGCAGAAAACGAAATCGATCTGGAGAGCGAACTCAAGTCAGAGCAAGTGACAGAGTGAATGACGAGACCCCACACAATGCAGACATCCAGAAATGGATCACTCCCAAGACCCCCGGGGCCCAGAGCTGCACCACCCCTCCCCACCCAACAACACTCCCGTGCCCCTTTCAGTGTGGATTAGAATGGGTGCTGAACAAGGCAACATGATCTCAGCAGTTGAAGCTGCTACGTGTGTGAAAACAAATTCGCCACTTGAGGGTTCGCCCATCATTCAAATACTACTCCTGAAAATAATGAAAAAAATAATGTGGGATTTATTTTAGCACCTCTGAGTGGTGTGCTCTTCTCAAAGGAAAAAAAAAAATGCCCTTGGTCTTAAAGACATAAGATTGAATATATAATCATGTGGCCTCAGGCTGACCAGATCAAAGTGGTTTCTAATCCATTCTACATGTCAAGTTTAAATGAGCCAGACTGCCTGTGACTTTATGAATCCGAAGGTGTTACCTGTTGCTGCTTTCTTAACCACCATGAGTAGGTAAAGCAAATAATAACTCACAGAGTGTGGATTTTTGAGAATCTGAATGTTTTCTCATTCACAAAAGTATCCCTTCTACCCCTACCTAGCATGGGGCTGAAATGTCATCATTAGAGATTCTGTCTTCTGGGGCTTACATGTCCTATGTTTCTTAAAATTCGCTGATTAAAAATTTTAAAAAGATAGGTATCACACCTGAAAGCAGTAGCCCCAGCTCTGTGCCATGGGACATCACAGGTCCTAAACAGTGACAGAGAAAGGGCTGGGGAGTGGCAGCTGGAATCTCTGCTTCCGTCTGAACATCTGGGTACGCATGTCAGAGAAACTTTGCATTAAATGGACTGCCCGATCTATTTGGTGATTAAATGGCTGTGTGGTGAGGGGAGAACCCTAGGCAGTCTGGAGACCGAGGTGCCATTCTTGGCTAGAGATACCACTGAAAGAAGAGATGGGCTGGCTACTAAAGACAAGTGTCAGTTGAATAAATGTCTTTAAACCCACAAAGTATTAACAGCAATCTTACTCAGTGCCATACAGGGAATCAGAATTTAAGAGGAAGATTTGATATGTACCCAAATAATTGTAATAGCTTTGATGCAGACAACATTAGATACATCCCATCAAAGAAACAAGGAAGCAGCCCTGTCCAGTTAGAATTAGAAAGGCTTTCAAGAAGAAGCGGTGTTTCATCAAGACTCCAGGGTGGCCAGAGCATGGACACAGGGTGCCCCGGGCAACAGGGATGGCACCAGCAAGGCCTGGGAGCCGGAGGCAGCAGGAGAGCACACTGAAGGAGCTGGTGTTTGGAGGGTGGGTACACCGAGGGGAGGAAAGAAGATGAGGCCAAGGACGGGGCTAGAGCCCAAAACCCCAGGCCTGAGTGCCAGGATTATCTGATTGCACATCTCTAGGAAGATGTGCAATGTTCTCTAGGAAGCCCCCCAATACAGCAAAGCACACTTGGATCTGCAGGTCAAGCAAGGTGTGTCTGGAGGAAAATAAGTGGCAGCAAGGACTTACCGTGGGGATAGGGTGTTGGGCGGTACCGCCAAGGCAAGGGGAAAGAGAAGGGTGTTTTGATTCCAGAGTGCGGAACTGGCCAGACAGGACTTTACAGAAAAGGGTAACACCCTTCCTAAAGCAAAGAGCATAGGCCAACGGCGGAAGCAGGGTCTAGTGCGTGCTGACTGTGCCAGACAGACCTGCTCAAGGCCTCTTGTGACGGGAAGTCACTTCCGTGTCCCAGAGAGACATGGCTTTTTCCCTGCCACTGTGGACTGGGGAAGAAAGTGTGCTCCTCCACACTGCCAAGACCCTCTATGTTCCACTATTTATCACCCCCTCTACCCAGTTGTAGGCCAGCTGTATCAGTGGACAAAGTTACTTCTCTGAAGTGATGTGAAAGTATGTCCTCCACCCAGAAAATATCTCTCCGCCAGCATCAGCCACATAACAGGCTCCCAGGGCCCCGACCATCTAGTCACGCTAAGGCCAACCCTGGAATTCCTAAACTAGGTGGTCAGGTCTTGAGATTAGTTTAGGCAAAACAAACTGCTGGACCAAAGTTAAGGGAGATGAGTAACACCAATACCTAGGTACAAGGTCAATGGTGTTTTCTAAAAGAGGAGGAAAAATCTGCTTTAGCAGAATTTAAACTGTTTATAGTATTTAAATAATAAACATTATTGGTCATTATCCTAGTGTTGAGCTGCACACGTTTACCTCACAAAGTGGAAGAGCATCTCTACTTTTGGGTTATCAAAACAAATGGAGATGATTTGTCCAGGGTAATTGGACTGGGTGCCAGGACAAAACCTGTTGTCTTGGTTTGCCTTCTTTGTGGATAAGAAGTACCTGTATTTCCTCCCTTCCTTCATCTTTTCCTCCAACCTGGAGGGACTTGGAATTATTTACATTTTGAGTGGACTCTCTAGCTAATCAAAAACATGAATTTGGAATCCTAAAGTCAAAATCACAATGTCTAAATGGCACTTAGGGGTAAATTATGTCTCACTGTTTCCCAAAATGACCAGGTAAAATTCAGGAGGACATGGAACTTTGGAAATTTTACCAGGGCTCTGGAAATTCTGACAATTGATATCCACCATTGGCCAGCTAAAATAGGCCATTTAACTGGAAAACAGATCCTTAAGAACTACTAGTTCCATTTACTAAAACAGCACTGGGTTTGAGGTCAAATCTTGCTCTCACTCTGACAGTAACTTGCTGTATGACCTTAGACAAGTCAAATCTCCTCTCTGGGCTCATAGATAAAATAAAGAGAACATTCTAGATTGCCTACTTCAGGTTTCTTTCCAGCTGTGACAGTCTATGATTCATCTATGATTCTTCAACTCTGCCGTAGGCTGTTATACCTAAGATTAGGATTTCCTTAAGAATGAAAAGATTGACAAATTTGGGTCCAGAGCCTCTGATGTGGCCATGAAAAGATGCCCTGACTCTCAGCTGACTCACGCTGGGCTCCATCAGTGCTGACAACACCCCTAAGACTGAGCTGGACTGGAAAGCTCCCCAAAGACCACCTCTGAGGAGCAGGCATCTTTAGTCATGTCCTGTACTGGGAATTATGGCTCCAACATCCGGCCATCAACAATTGTAGAAAATGAATAGGAGAAGGCTGAAAGCTGATCTGCCTCCAACCCTGCCTCCTGGTTTCTAGGGCCAAGCAAGCTGCCTGGGGAGGCAGCAAGGTGGGGCTGTGTACTCATACAGGAGCTGGGGTTTTTTTATTTTTTGTGCCAGACTCCAATGTGAGCATATTAGCTGCTCTTACTCAGCCTAGGATTGGGACTAGAAGAACAAAAGATTATTTGGTTTATGTCAGCTATAATTTTCTCGCTAAGCCAAGGGTTTCATCCCTGGGCAGAAGAAGCAGAGAGGATTGCACAATAAAACTAGAAGTAAAAGAAAGAGGCCCTGGTGGGTAAGAGGCTGGAGTCTGTTTAAACCTCAGGAGACCTTCCCCTACCCAAAATTGACACTGGCCAGGTGAGTTGACCACACAGTAGTACCATAATGAATGGGAGAGACCTCGAAAGCAGGACCACTGGTAGCTTCACAGGTTGTACACTGCACATCCCAGGGGCACCCTTCAGAGGCATTATAGTATTGCCTTCTGGAATTGTGTGCAGTGCACAACCTGTACATCTGCATGACACGGATCCATCAGATAGCCAGAAGATGATGAGCAAAAGGCAGTCGAGGGTTCTCACTTCTTCTCTCTCAGTTGTAGACTGTAGAGCCCCAGGAGAGCTGGAACATGGGCTGGTCACCTTCTCCACAAGGAACAACCTCACCACATACAAGTCTGAGATCAGATACTCCTGCCAGGAGCCCTATTACAAGATGCTCAACAATATCACAGGTAAGCCCTCCATGCTGAGCCACCCCACTCCCGTTTCACACTCTCAGGGCCTCAGGGTTGGGCTGGAGGCCGAGGCAGCTCTGAAAGGAAGAACTGCTCATAAGTGTGCAGAGCCTGATAATGCAAAACGTGTCACTCACACATCTCCTCAGGTTCTCACTTTCCATGAGCTTGTGTTACTGTGTCCATGTGGAGATGCAGAAACAGTCTCAAGACCAAAACCCAGGCTTTTTTGTTTTTAACTTTAAATCTAGCACTGATTTACTAATGAGTTGTTGGTGGGAGTGTGAAGGAGTCACACATTGACACAACTAAGGGAAGAAACGAGACGCTAAAGGAAGCCTGGAATACCCCAAGTTAAACTCCTTCATGTGGTCTGAGGCTGAGTTGGGGTTTCCAAAAAATGGCCAGTATTATTGCTTCACCCAGTCTCTGCCTTGGCTTCTGGGTGAGGGCAACATCTCACCAGGCCAGACCCAGTCAGCAGGTAAGGGACCTTCCTTCAAAGACCTGTTCCGCTGATACGGACAGGGGTCCAGGCAGGGTTGGGGAGTGAGGAGCAGATCCTTTGCCTCCCCAGGGAGCCCAGCATATCCCCCGACCACAGCTCAAGCACAGCCACAGCTACAGCAGTCCCTGTCCAGACCTCATCCATGCCACCTGGCAGAGACCCCTGGCCGCCCCAGGGACTGGGCAGCAGCACACTGTCCAGAGGGTGAAGGACTTGCAATAACCTGTCCCTTGGCCACACTGGGGGTTTGGGAGGAACTGGGAGGAGAATGGCTTAGAGACATAACCCGCCTCTCCCTGCCTTGTGGCAGCCCAACACCCCCTCACACGCACTCACAGTCCCTAGCAGAAAAGGAGCTCTCAGGGAGAAAGGAGGGCCCATCAGCTCTGCCTCTCTGGCATGCAAGCCCTGAGAACATTCTCCTGACTCATCTAAGCCTCCAACTCCTTTTTGGTTTTTTTGTTTGTTTGTTTTTTGGTTTTGTTTTTGTTTTTGAGACAGGGTCTCACTGTCACTCAGGCTGGAGTGCAGTGGCATGATCTCGGCTCACTGCAACCTCCACCTCCTGGGTTCAAGCAATTCTCTTGCCTCAGCCTCCCAAGTAGCTGTGATTACAACAGCTTGCCACCATGCCCAGCTAATTTTTGTATTTTTAGTGGAGACGGGCTTTTGCCATGTTGGTCAGGCTGGTCTTGAACTCGTGACCTCAAGTGATCCGCCCACCTCGGCCTCCCAAAGCGCTGGGATTACAAGCGTGAGCCACCGCACCTGGCCCGAAGTCCTCATTTTTAAAAGAAGGAACAGTGATGAAGCTCTTAGAGCGATTTTGAAACTCCAGCGAGATGGTGGTCACAAATGTATGCTTATTAAAGAGTCTGTCAAATGGAGAAGGAACAAAAGGGCATATGTGCAACAAAGAGCTATATAAGCCCAGGTCTTTGTGACAAGTGAGGGGGAAATGCCTTCCAGGACCTGGGCAGCGTGGGGTGGGGAGGGGAGCAGCCCTCAGCCAGGCAGGAGTGGGACTCCCCAGAGCTTTAGACAGACACCATGCTGAAGAGCGTGGTGTTTATTTTTGAGGGTGACAACCAGCCTTTGGTGATTCTGAGCTAAGAAAGGACATGGTCAGATTCCCATTTTAGAAAGATCCTTCAGGTTGCAAAGGGAGTTTGATAGAAGGACTAGGATGGTAGCCCTGTGGGTATTTGAAGACATTTGGAGGTTAATTGGTCCCTTTGGAGGATTATATCCCAGAGAGTACCTGCCACATTCCTCCACTTTCTTCCTCATTCTTCTTAGCACATCTAGGCTCAGAGACAATCGTATCTGAGCCTAGATGACCATTTGGAGGACTTTTGTAATAACTCACTTTAGAGAAATTAAGTACCCAGATCTATTTTCCATGTGCTGCAAATCAACCATTTTCTCCCTTTTCTCCTAACCTCTTTCACTAATCCAGGTATATATACCTGCTCTGCCCAAGGAGTCTGGATGAATAAAGTATTGGGGAGAAGACTGCCCACCTGCCTTCCAGGTACCTCACCCTTCAAATTCTTTGCCTCATGGTTTTCCATCCAAGGCCCTAGGACCCCAGGTCTTCTGGCTGTTAACAGGGAGATGGAGAACAGAGGAGGTAATGCTTTGATTGCTTTTTAAGAGGTGTCTTCAAAAGGTTAAAGGTCAGAGAAGCCCTGCTTCACACCTTCTCAAACCAGCCTGTATTTTCTGCCTGCTCCGTCACTCTGAGAGCCCTCCTGTCCCCTCTCTGTGTCCTTGCCACAAGCTTTTTCATAGAACACAGTTTGTGCGTGCATCTGCTGTCGTGCCAGGGAAATTGGAAAAGTGGGTACCCTGTCCTCAAGCACTCACCATGCTATCCAGGAGATGATAAGACAAACAACATCATGATAAGACGGAGTGAGAAATTCTTTCTTCCAAACAGCAACGTGGTCAAGCCTTTCCAACTGCTGCCTTTCCCATGGTTTACTTACCGACTCCCCTTTAAAATAGAAAGAAAATTTTGTGGTGACAGGAAGTGTTACTGTGCATACAGATTTTGGGGACATTTGCTTTAGCATTAAAAGTATAGGCCAGGCGTGGTAGCTCACGCCTGTAATCCCAACGCTTTGGGAGGCCAAGGCGGGTGGATCATCTGAGGTCAGGAGTTCAAGATCAGCCTAGTCAACATGGTGGAACCCCATTTATACTAAAAATACAAAAATAATTAGCCAGGCGTGGTGGCGCGCATGTGTAATCCCAGCTACTCGGAAGGCTGAGACAGGAGAATTGCTTGAACCCAGGAGGCAGAGGCTGCAGTGAGCCGAGATTGCACCATTGCACTCCAGCCTGGGCGCCAGAGCTACACCCTGTCTTGAAAAATAAATAAATAAATAAATAGTATGGGTGATTTGCAGTGCAATCACACTGTGTAGCTACTCAAGTTGACTTAGAAAAGTATAACCCCAAAATGCACACTCTAGGGTTAAACAAATAATCTACAAAAAAATTAAATTTAATATTCACAACATGGTAATTTTTTTTTTTAGAAAAAGTAAGAATGGCAGTAGTTTAATGATGCAATCACTCAAGACAGCATTGAGGAATACTGAAAATTAAGTGCCTTGTCTAATTCCATCTGCATGTTTGCAGAAACAGCAGGAAATTTGCAATATGGTTAAGCATTGGGTGATATTTGTATTTTGCTGAATGAGAGTGTTGGGTAAACTGACGTAGTGTATTATATTAATGGTACATTTCAGTAACCCTACAGTATACGGTATAAAGTAGGTATACTAGTACACAGTAGGTATAGTAGTCTGTTCTCACACTGCTGATAAAGACATACCCAGGACTGGTAACTGATACAGAAAAAGAGGTTATTGGACTCAGAGTTCCACATCGCTGGAGAAGCCTCACAATCATGGCCAAAGGTGAAAGGCACATCTTACATGGTGGCAGGCAAGAAAGAAATGAGACATAGCCAGTTTGAGACATAGCCAAACCATATCAGGAGGCTTCTAGACATCAGATTAGACACTAAAATGGAAAGGCTATGGAGTTGTCTACCATTCATCCTTAAGAAGTGAAGAATGTATTAGCATTTGAGAGTCAGGTTTTGACCATCACAGGTGCTATGGGATCCCAGAGAAGAAGGAAGTAACAATGCCTGGTTGTCTATGAGTGGAGGGGTAAGAACTGACCAGGAAGGCTTCACATAAGAGCTCTTTATTTCTAAGAAAAACTTAAGAGGATGTGGAATAAGGGAACGTTCATCCCACCCATTCTGCTGATTCCACTTACCTCAATTAGGCTTGCCCAGAAGTACACCCAAGGACTCCAGGCAGTGAAGCCTCAGAGAAGAGAGGAATGGTGGAGCTGTAGCAAACCAGAGGATCTAATCCCCATTTTGCTAAAAGAGTATGTGAGCCAAAGAAAGCTAGGGATAGATTCCATGCTGGAAAGCCATGTGGCTGCCTCAGGAAGGGGAAGAAGCCCTGGGCAAAGAGTTAGGGCCCTAGGTACTAATACTGATGCTGCCATTTCCTAACTGTGATCTTTGGTAAGTAATTTCACATCTCTGGGTCTGGGATCCCATACCTCAGAAGTAAAGCATCAGGACCAAGAGACCTGTGATATTCTATGACTCTTTTTTTTGAGACAGAGTTTCACTCTTGCTGCCCAGGCTGCAGTGCAATGGTGCAATCTCAGCTCACTGCAACCTCTGCCTCCTGGGTTCAAGCAATTCTCTTGCCTCAGACTCCCGAGTAGCTGGGATTACAGGCATGCGCCACCATGCCCGACTATTTTTTTTTTTTTCTTCGTATTTTTAGTAGAGACAGGGTTTCTCCATGTTGGTCAGGCTGGTCTCAAACTCCCAACCACATGTGATCCTCCTACCTCGGCTTCCCAAAGTGCTGGGATTACAGGCATGAGCCACCACACCCAGCTATTCTATGATTTTTAATGGTCATCATCCTCTATGTTTGTACAAAGCATCTTGGATACAATGAGTCATGAAATTCTTTTTAACACCAAGTGTTGGGCAGAACCATGGTGTATCATTGAACCAGGCCAGAAATTTGTAAAGTCTCTCTTCGCAAAACACTGTGTGATTGAACCAGGATGCAGGCCAGGATGGAGAAGGCCATCTCATCTATTGTCATAAGGCCCACCATTTCAGGGGGCCTGCTAAGCAAATATTACTTGCCCCCTTATTTTATAAATGAGAAAACTAAGTATCAGAATAGTGTAGTGATTTGTACAAGGCTACTTGTAGAAAATTAGGGGCAGAGCTGAAAGGTGAACTCAATACTTTTGATGGCAACATAAGCAATGCCGAGCCATTCTTTTACCATGGTCATGTTTTATGCCATCCTCAGGTACCTTGAATCCTAGAGCATCACATTTTTCTTTAAAGACCCTCCCTCACTAACCACTATCCTCTAGAACCCAAATCTGGCTTCAGCATAGCCAAAGCTATAACATTTCAAGAAGATTCCTTTCTCCCAGGAAAGACTGGGTGGGGAATGGCAGCAGCCAATAAGAATGACCCCATTTCAATGAGCTCTCCCAAGGGCTTGTTGCATCATTCAACCTCTTAAAAGGACAAGAACACATCAAGGAGAAAAACAGATTTCAGTGGAGATATGAAGCTAGACTCAGGACAAACAAGCTCGAGTTCTGGCTTTCCCTCTAACAACTTTGAGTAAGTCATTTCTTTCTCTGAACTTCCATGTTTCCATCTGTAAATTAGCTGTTCTCCAAGGTTTCTCCAGATCTGATCCGTGACCTGCAGTGTGCCACTGGCACCTTGGTTGGAGAAAGGTACCGTTTAGTACTGGCTTTGTTGTGACCATGGACCAAGTCACAGACGTGTCCCTTACCAGATGAGGGCCTTGAAGCACTAAATATATGTAGGACCAATCGCAGAGCTGCGTTGAGATGTTGCCTTGCAGTTTGCTACTTGTAATTGGAAGGCTGACCCTCAACTTTGAAAGGCCAGGCCACAGAGAGTTACAAAGACCAGTTCACATCTGGCCTGGGGCGAATGGCAGGGTGCCCCAGGATCAAGCAAGAAGCATTTGGCCTCAGGAAGAAGAGCATCTGAAAAGCATTAGGTTGCTAAAAGCCTGCTCTCCCAAAGTTGCCAAGAAAACTCAAATGTTCCATGGTGTCTAAAGGATTGTCGAAAGCGCCCAGGCCAAGGAGTGTAGTCTGGCCATTTGGAACCAGGAGGAGGCCCACACTCACAGTAGGTCTACCTCCAAGACCCAAGCACCGTGCCTGGGAGGGCCGTGCAAGCATGTTCTTAGCCAGCAGGGGCCTGGTGCCGAAGACCTGCTCATGGGCCAGAGCCATTTGGCTGCAGGAGGCTGGTGGTGCATGTGCATGCTCAGGGTGCAACTCAGTGGAATGAAGTTTGCTCAGATCTTTCTCCTTCCCCTAAAGGTACTACACAGCTCCTGGGTGCAATGATGGGTGGCCCAGAGTAGGGTCCATGCATCATTGCTTATAGATTATGCCATCTTTCCCCAACCTTGGATGCCCTGGGCCTTAATCCATGGGCACCAATTTATAGCAAGATTCTTTTAGGACAGAGAAGAAAAGGTTTAAGGCCCTATGCCCATGGTCTTAATATCTATTGAGTCAGTGTGGGTACTAGACTTAGAATCTAGTTAAGCTCCTGCTATCTGACTTAAGAGTTGTATCCCTTTGGGCTAGTCACTTAAACTCAGGAGGTTTACTTACCCAGAAAATGGTGATGGCTAAGGCAAATAAAACGAAAATTAAAGGATCCCTGGAGTTTGAAGGATCCTTGGAGATCATTGTGACCAAATGCTTCATTTGACAGATCAAAAATTGAAATCCAGAGAGGGAAATTTACTGACTCAGAGTCACAAGGGAAATGGAAGAGAAAAGCCAGGTCAAGACTTCCAGCATCTTTGTTACCATCTTTGTTAGCGTTTGCTGTGACCTGCTAGATGGTGTTTTAGGTTCCTTCCATCTCTCTGTCCCCATGGAAAGAAAACTTTCAGAAGCTTTCTAGGTTCCCATAGCATGGACAACTTCTGAAATAAGACCTGCCTTTCTAGAGAAGGAAGGGGATAAGTGTCCACTACTAGAAATAGATGGCTGTCAATGGTCCGAGTCACAAGTGGTCTTAGCCAGAGATGGTTCAGGATAGAGAAAGCCCAAGCAGAGTGGTCCAGTCCAGAGAGGGTCCCAGCTACAGAAGAGACAGACTAGAGATGGGCCAGCCTAGAGCGACATAGACCCAAAATGACCCTGAGTAGAGCTTTTCCAGGCTGGCATGACCCAGGCAGGTTAGGGTCCCATGGTGGCATAATCTATAGTAGGTGACATGTGAATTTCTCTTTGTGGCTTCTGTCATATGGCTGACCTGACCAGTCTCTGTCCCTTGTCCCTGTTCCCTCTTTCTCCTTACAGAGTGTGGTCAGCCCTCCCGCTCCCTGCCAAGCCTGGTCAAGAGGATCATCGGGGGCCGAAATGCTGAGCCCGGCCTCTTCCCGTGGCAGGCCCTGATAGTGGTGGAGGACACTTCGAGAGTGCCAAACGACAAGTGGTTTGGGAGTGGGGCCCTGCTCTCTGAGTCCTGGATCCTCACAGCAGCCCATGTGCTGCGCTCCCAGCGTAGAGACACCACAGTGATACCAGTCTCCAAGGAGCATGTCACTGTCTACCTGGGCTTGCATGATGTGCGGGACAAATCAGGGGCAGTCAACAGCTCAGCTGCCCGAGTGGTGCTCCACCCAGACTTCAACATCCAAAACTACAACCATGATATAGCTCTGGTGCAGCTGCAGGAGCCCGTGCCCCTGGGACCCCTCGTTATGCCTGTCTGCCTGCCAAGGCTGGAGCCTGAAGGCCCGTCCCCCCACATGCTGGGCCTGGTGGCCGGCTGGGGCATCTCCAATCCCAATGTGACAGTGGATGAGATCATCGGCAGTGGCACGCGGACCTTGTCAGATGTCCTGCAGTATGTCAAGTTACCTGTGGTGCCTCACGCTGAGTGCAAAACTAGCTATGAGTCCCGTTCAGGCAATTACAGTGTCACAGAGAACATGTTCTGTGCTGGCTACTATGAGGGCGGCAAAGACACGTGCCTTGGAGATAGCGGTGGGGCCTTTGTCATCCTTGATGACTTAAGCCAGCGCTGGGTGGTGCAAGGCCTGGTGTCCTGGGGGGGACCTGAAGAATGTGGCAGCAAGCAGGTCTATGGAGTCTACACAAAGGTCTCCAACTATGTGGACTGGGTGTGGGAGCAGATGGGCTCACCACAAGGCGGAGCCTCAGGTGGAACAGTGAGCTGACTTCCTTCCTCAGGGCCTGCCTCCCCTGAGTGAAGCTACACTGCACTTCCGACAGCACACTCCACATTACTTATCAGACCAAATGGAATGGAACACACTGACCTAGCGGTGGCTTCTCCTATGGAAAGAGCCCCCAGGACCCTGAGAGGCAGCAGTGTGGTATAGGAAAAGCCTCTAGGCAGGAGACTTGCATTCCTGAGCTTGTCCAAGTCTCTTCGCCTGTCTGGGCCTCACTCTCCCCAGTAATACAATGCAGGAGCTAAACCAAGGCCATCCCAGCACTCCTCTCCAGGCCATACTTCTTATCCCAGTGGCCTTTATTCACTCCTGACCACTTATGAAACGCATCGGTTCCACTGTTGGTATGACTGAGCTTGGACCTGACTATTAGAAAATGGTTTCTAACATTGAACTGCATGCTGCATCTGTATATTTTCCTGCTCTGCCTTCTGGGACTAGCCTTGGCCTAGTCCTTCCTCTAGGAGAAGAGCATTCAGGTTTGGGGAGATGGCTCATAGCCAAGCCCCTCTCTCCTAGTGTAATCCCTTGGAGAACTTTCTTGCCTGGGGTTTCTCTCCTAAAAGCTTCTTGCAGTCTAAGCCTTATCCGTTATGTTCCCCATTAAAGGAATTTCAAAGGACATGGAGAAAGTTGGGAAGGTTTGTGCTGACTAGTGGGAGCAGAATATCAGCGGGAGGCTCACCAAGCCCTTAAATTCCCATTGTCAACTCAGAACACGTTTGGGCCCATATGCCACCTTGAAATACCAGCTGACACCATGGATGTCCACACCTGCTGCTCCAGATAAGCACAAAGCAATCTTTCAGCCTTGAAATATAGTATCTATAGTAGTTCAGTAGCTACTACCTGAACCCCAGACCCAAATTTGGGGACTTAGCTGATTACCTGGGAAAAGAAAAGACCCACACCGTATCCTGCTGTGCTTTTGGGCAGGAAAATGGAAGAAAGAGTGGGGTGGGCACATTAGAAGTCACCCAAATCCTGCCAGGCTGCCTGGCATCCCTAGGGCATAAGCTGGGCGGAGAATCCACCCCACAGAATGTTCAGAGAGACCCACTCCTTCATTTTCCAGAGTCAAAGGAATCAGAGGCTCACCCATGGCAGGCAGTGAAAAGAGCCAAGAGTCCTGGGTTCTAGTCCCTGCTCTGCTCCCAGCTGGCTGTATAACCTTTGGGAAATCATTTTCCTTCTCTGAGTCTCTGGTTCTCCATCAGCAATAGGAGGGCATTAGGTCCCCTGCAGGGTCTTTCTAGCTGGAGCGCTCAGAGCTTCCCTGACTGCCAGCAGCCTCTCTGGCCCTCACAGGGCTGCCTGTCCTCCTTCTACCTGGAGCTCTCTGTCCTGGAAATCTCCATCAGAGCAAGACAGCCAGAGAAGCCCCTGAGAGGGAATGACTGGGAAGTATCCACTGCTCCAACCAGCTCGTCAAAGCACACTCCTATGTCTATGAAGGGCACATGTAAAGATGTTATATTTTGTATCTTTTATATGATATGCTTCACCACTCTGTAAAGGGCCTCTGCATTGTTGCTCCCATCAGGGGTCTAAAGTGGAAATAAACCCTCATGGATAACCAACAGCCTTGGCTATAGGTTTTGTTATTGTTGGGGAAGTGTGTTCATTTGTTTTGACTTTTTTGAAAAGAAATTGGCCTCCTCATGAAACCAAAATCTCCCTTGTTGCAGGGAAAGTACAACTTTTGGTATCTGGACGTTATCCAAGAGGTAATGAGGAAAGGATTTGGTTATTGATGTGTCTTCTTCTCAGAGGCTGCTTGTTCCTTCGTTTAAGTGGCTGGCATTTAAGTCCTTGCCTTCAAAGGACTTGAGCCTGAAGGCCCGGCCCCCTACGTGCTGGGCCTGGTGACCAGCTAGGGCATCTCCAGTCCCAATGTGACATTGGATGAGATCATCAGCAGCGGCATGCAGACCTTGTCAGATGTCCTGCAGTATGTCAAGTTACATGTGGTGCCACACGCTGAGTGCAGAACCAGCTATGAGTCCTGCTCGGGAAACTACAGCGTCACGGAGAACATGTTCTGTGCCAGCTAGTTTCCAGTGCATGCAAGACAAGCTTATATGCATATAGGTCTTACATAGGCAAAAGAAGTTAAATGTAAAAGGAACAGAGATTTAAGTACTATGGGAACTTAAAGAAGGGGCTATTTCATATAGCTGAAGGGGCTTGGAATAGCTTTGCAGAGGCTTCAAAGGATGCATGGGAGATAGGAGGGAAGGGGCAGAGTGGAAAAAAGCATGAAAGCTGGCCATGGTTAAAGTGATAGCGGTGGGCATTGAGTGGGAAGAGTTTTTAAAAGCATACTCTATTTGAACTGTCCTGAAATGAGTGATTCTCTAAGTTTGGGGCATATGAGAATCACCTGGGGTGCTGGTGAAAAATGCAGATTGCTGGGTCTCACCCACTGGAAAATTTGAATTCAGCAGGTCTGAGGGTGGGCAGCATGGTGTGGAAAGTGGAAGGAAGGAGCTGAGCTAGGAAAGCAGTTATGCAACTACTGCAACTGTCCTGATGAGGGATGGTACAGACCCACCAGCCATAGGGCTGTGACAGTGCAGACAGGACGAGGGGCAGTTTAAATCGATTTAAGTGGTACATTCAGCAGGGCTTGGCCTATAGGCATCTCTTGATAAGTTCAAGCATGAGTGGCATGTGATAGTGAAGTCTCACCATGGGACACACTCATGGTTTGCCTTTGTTTTTGGTTTGTACCATAATGAAAATGCCATTCTTTTTACACTATTGAGAATGAAAATAAGAGCATATTTATGCTTTGCACTTTATGGTTTGAAAGACTTTCGTGTCTCATGTTCTATTACATTTCCAACTTTTGCTTTTCTTTAGATACTTGGACTTTATGTTGTGACATATTGAGGTACTGAGGCATGACGAGGTTACATACAGAGCACTTTGTGACATGGAGTCGGGGAGACACATCGCTCTCCTTCTCCCAGGGATTTACCAGCAGCTTAGTGACTGATTGAACCTGGGGTTGAAGAAAAGGGAGGCAACAAGGATGTGGTTGATTCAGACGTTAGCAGACATCTGGAATAAGAAAGGGGAGAAGGTTAGTGAAGGGTGGACACTCGGGCTTGGTTTCACTGAGTTGGAAGAGTTTATGAGCAACCAGCTGGAAATGTAAGTTGGCAGTAAAAAATGGTGAGTTTTAGAGGACAGGGCAGATTTCAAGACACTGATTTGAAATTCATCAGCACATGGGTAGTATGATGGCATAGAGGTAGAGGGCATCATCTACGGGAAATTTACAGATAAGAAAAGGAGACCAAGGCCTGGGGCCAAATGGGTGAAACACCAGCATCACAGAAGTCATGAAGAAAAGAGAGGCCCCAAGGAAAAGAAAAAAAAGGGAAGGAATCAGAAACACAGGGAGAAAAGTGCTTTAGAAGCCAAGAGGAGGAGCTGTAAAGAGGGATGAAGTAGTCAACAGCACCCAATGCTGCTAAGAGTCCCAAAGAAGGACTCCAGGAAGGAAGTTCCCCAGGACAGGAGTCAAGTCTCCATTGTCATCCCTGAGGGGTATGCAGGCAGCAGGCTCCATGCGTGAGTTTCAAGTCTCTAGGACTTCTCTCTTCCTTAGTCCTCTCTATCTCTCTGTACTCCCTCCTTCCTCTCTCTCTAGCCTTCTCAGTCTCCCAGGATGGGCTTTTAGCTCTTTTCTCAGAGGTAGGAAACTGCCCTTGCATCTTCCGTAAGCCTTGTGGTAAAAATTACATGTTCAGTTCTCCATCTTTTGGTTCCTTGAGACCTACAAATTTTTTATTCTTACTATAAAGCCTGATTCTTCTAAATGAAAGTCCGTCTTTCCAGACTTTGGTTTCTGCTTTGCTCTTTCAAGTCAAAGCCTTATCCAGCCTTTGCTTAAAACCATGGATGCTCCAGCTTCAGTGACTTGGGAGCCACAGTGCACAGCGAACTCCTAGGGATGAAAAATGTATCTGATAAGATTCGAAAAATAGTATCCTACTCTGTATGTAGATATCATGGTTGAAGTTCCATTTATGGTCTCAGAGACATTTTATTTCCATCTACTATTTGTAGACCTGTTAAATATTCAAATGGCTGCCTATTTCCAAGTTTGTGCAGTACATGGCACTTTCTTCTTCTGAATACAGCTCTAAAGGGGGAGGAAGAATGTGGGAAAAGAGTGTCAACTTGTCTTTTCAGAAGCTTTACTATAGAAGGGAGGAGTAGGAGAGACTGTGGAATGAATGGCAAGTGGGGAAATGGAAGCTGATTTTTAGGATGAAAAGTCTTGACTGTATTTTGGAGGCATAGAATAAGGAGAGATGAAAAATACAGGAGAGGGGTGACAATCTCCAAGGCCAGGTCTCCAAGAGTTCAAAAGTTAAGAGATCCAGAGTGAAAAATTAGTTCTGAAGACAATAAAGTTTACAGGAAGAAGAGATGGTGAGGAGGATGGTTTGCACTCAGTGGGATTCCCACTCAGGGAGTTCCCACTCAGTGGGCTCTGAGAGTCTGTTGGGAATGGAGGCAGGACATTAACTTGGGGAAGCTGGTTGTGGGCATATAGAATGATGCTGGGAGATGCTGAGGCTGCATCAAGGTTGTGGATGCAGAGCATTTATATGTGATTTTCTCCAGCCTGGTGACAGCTACAAAGGTAGCAGGTAACTGCCTGGATCCAGGGGCTTGGGTTATGAGTGTTCTGGGAAGCCACACAGTTAAAAGTTTATGGGGCTGGCCAGAGTAAGAAAAGCCCAGAGTTGGGAGTCAGGAGACCTAGATTGATAGTCTTGCCACTAACTCATGGAATACCTTTTGGCAAGTCAATTTCCTTCTCCGGGCCTCGGTTTCTTTAGCTGAATGATAAGAGGGATAGACCAGATGGTCTCCAAGGGCTATTCAGTTGTAAAGTGTGTATGTGGGAGCATGTCTGTCAATTCAAACCAGTGGAAAACGGGATGGAGCAGGCAGACACTGTGGTGGTGAGGATCTTTAGCTCCACAAGGCCCTGAGGAAGGGCTTTTCTCAGGAGACAAGATTCCTTGGATGGAGCATAATAACTCCTTATTAGCTGTGACTCTTTCATTAGTAAGTGACATAAAGCCAACATAAGCAGCTTAAGGGGAAAAAGGAGAGGTAATTCATAGGCACATATAACTGAAAAGACTGTACCAAAAGGCTTCACGTATAATTAGATCAAAGGGCTCAACTGTTATGGTGCGATCTCTCTCTCTCTCTCTCTTTGCCCCTCAACTGTCAGCTCCACTTTTCTTCATCAGTCTCAGTAGACTCTTAATGAAATGATTGTTGACAGATCTGGGTTTATGGCTAATAGCTTGGCAACTCCAGTAGGGAATGACTTTCTCTTCTCTAATATGCTTAGCAAAATTCTCAAGTAAGTCTTTCATTGGTCCAGCCAAGGTCACATTCCCATCTCTGAGCAATTGCTGTGACCAGAAAGTGCATGGCTTTGATCAGTCACATTCCTATCCCTGAAACCAGAGGTGAGATCAATCCAACTCTAACTGCATACACTAAGAATGGGGAAAGTGCAGACTCCAAAGAAAGATTGGGATGCTATTATCAGGAAGGTCAATTAATGCTGGAGGAGCAAAAGTAATAGATGTTCCTAACAGGGTGATGAGTTGGGAACTCTGGCAGTGGGCAAGATATAGTCCAGAGTCTGATCTGTCTCTCCCTACCTCCCTTGGATGCAGTGTGTGGGCTGCCCAAGTTCTCCCGGAAGCTGATGGCCAGGATCTTCAATGGACGCCCAGCCCAGAAGGGTACCACTCCCTGGATTGCCATGCTGTCACACCTGAATGGGCAGCCCTTCTGTGGGGGCTCCCTTCTAGGTAAGGAGAAGGTGGAAGAGGTGGAAGCTAAGGAATTGAACCCCCTCCTTAGAGACTGACCAAGGTTTCTTCATTGCGAGTCATTGTGCACACTAGCGTCAGGGTACAGGGTGCAGTATGGTAGAAAGAATTCTCGACTAGACTGGATCCTGGTCTGTCTCTGGCACTGGGAAGGACAAAGTCAGGGAGTCTCTCAACCATGGATAACAGTACATGGGGGTCAAAGACAGGGCATGCCAGGGCTGTGAGGTCAGGGAGAGCCAGGAAACTCACCCTTGGGGATCAGGAAAGGTCGATTTACAAAGACCTTGAATGTTATGCTTAGGAATTTCTATCTTGTCTTGAATGCTGCTTTAAGTTGATAAGTATGTTCTGGAAAGTTCTCTCCAGAGGCCGCATTGATAAAAAGGAGGGTGAAACTGGAGGCCAGGAGATCAGTGAGGCATCCATTGCAGTAGCGGGGAGAGAAGGTATAGCCTCAGAATAAGAACAGGCCATGAGGGATGGAAACAAGGAGGCAGATTCAATAATACTGGGAAATAGGACTGTCACCTTTGTAATGGAATGTGGGTGGGAGTGGGAGCAAGAATGAAAACAGCGGATGGCTCTCCCTGCCACAGTTTGGTCCAGGCAATCTAAGGTCTGTGCCAGTTCTGATGTCAAAAGAAAGCTGAATAGCAATCTAGGCTATCTAGGCCACTTCTGCATCAGATCCCACCAC